TCGGGATGTTTGAAATGCTCTACTTGATGGTGGTGGCGTAAAGGTTTAATTGCCGTCACCGGTATGCTTTAGTCCCTATGGTCCGAGGTTCGAACCCCGCCACCGGGACCTAACTTTGGTGGTCGACAGCTTTGCTGTTTGTGATGAAAAAATAAACAGCTCTTATTGTTGCGTGCTTCTCGTAGTGATATATTTATAAGCACTGTTGTGAATGCACTGATATCAATGATCTTACTTTGTTGAAATGAAATATCACTCAAATGTTCCGCAAGTCAGGTCCCTACTTTCTCCGTGCCACCCCACTTCCCAGTTTCTCACTTCATATGTTGTATGTTTTCATATCAAATTCACTGCATACCGAATTATGTTGGCTTCATTTCACTCCAGGTGAACGATCCGAGTCTCCACTTGGCTGTCGGGACCTCTATCGCCGATTGCCTCTTGGGACCTGCATCTCCGCTCAAATATCATTGGTATGAGCGTACCTATCCATTACTGGTCTCACCGGAAGCAATCGCGGCAGCTGTGGCCAGTCCCGGTGGTGTCTGGCTAGCTGGTCAACTGGAAAGCCTACTCAGTCATAGACCGGGTCAGGTTCAAACAAGACCGGCCACCCTTGCTGCAGCGTTTTGGGCCTTGGCGCTCGTTCGTCGTATGGGTCCACCGCCAAGCTCCCTCCTACCCGATCGTCTGATCATAGATTTGCTTGAAGAGAAGGACGGTGAGTAACTCAGTCCGACTTGTGTGGAATTTGCCTATTTAGTCTTACTTTGTCCACTGTTATTGTAATCAACTGGTTCCTCCACGACCTCTCCATCCGGATCTTAGGTGATACACAATAGGGTGACTAAGTGAGCAACTCAGCAACTTGGTGGATGGCTACGGTTCCCGTTGGATTGCATGAGGCTTAAAAATGAACATGCAATAGAAGCATGCGGGCCCAGGCTGTCAATCGATTAACAGGTATTGATTTTGTACTAGATGCACTTTGTTCTATGACCATTCCTTATTAGTTCTAGCACCAGAGTAATGTTATCCATTCAGTTCATTCAAGTAAAATAATTTTCTGCCAAATCTTCCGTGCGCTTTTTGTCCTAAAAGCCACTCCGTCACCTTGAATCTACCGTCCCCTCCGTTTTTCAGCTAAAGGGTCAACAGCTGCCTGATGGAATTGATTTGATTGGAAAGTCGGAGTCGGTACTGGTGCTCGTTCGTTTTTAGTAGTTTATCTACTGTCTTGTAATGCTATACCTCGTCTGTTCCGTAATCACCATTTTCGTGTTTGTGATCAAGATCGTCGTACAGCGGAGTACAGGGAGATGAACTTGGACGATCATTGCCAAGATTTTAATGCACTTGAATTTAGTACATATGTATAAGATAGAAAGGTAATGAGCGGTTTTCACACCGCCCCGTTGTCTTGCGAGTCAGGCTCCGGTTGTGGATTCCTCAAGAAAATTCACCTGTCTTGGCTTCGGCAACTTGGCAGTATTCTCTTCACAAGCAAATCGTGGAACTCTGTTTTTATAAAGATTATTGTACTGTGTTTTATTTGGCACAGCCTAGTCTCAGGCTTGTGTCAAATATATATTTCAAAGAAGAAATTCGTCTTGTATAGGGCAAATGGAGCGTAAACTGAAAAGCTGTTTCGATTTGGGTTTCATCAGCAGTGCGAATCCATCGACCAATTCCTTCTTTGAAAGTGAATCGAATCCTCCTTTACTCATATGTATCAAAGA